CTCCTGAGTAAGGATTACAGGTGTGAGCCACCGGTGCCTGGCAGGACAAATCTACAATGTCAAACATGTACATGTGGCTGAGTCCAGTTACAGAGTGCTATTTCAGTCTCTCTCTGGCCTTTCTCATACTTCATTTTGTTGCCTTCTTTTCTTGGATGTTGGTTTTCTGTTCTTGGAGACTTCTGCTCTTCACGATCCTTCAGGGCTCCAACAGGAACCAGAGATCCCTGTCCTCACGCTACCTGCCCAGCAAATGCTGGCAGCCATGCCCCTGACCCCAGAACTTCCTGCTGACCAGCATCCAGAAAAAAAGTCTCTGTGTCCCCAGGAGCTGAGCCCCTGGTACCTGCACAGGACTTGCCCTCCCAGGTGAAGCGGGAGGAAGCTCTGTGTGTGCGGAGCCAGCGGAACCTGGAAGAAAGAGCTATCCCCACGGAATCCATCACTGGTGAGTGAGCCAAATAGCCATCTGCCCCAGGAGGGGAAAGGAGGGTTGTGAGTGTGGTCTGTGGCTCGGGAGGGTGTCCATCGCGTGTAACAGGATAGAGAGCAATGCTTCCAGTGGCAGAGCTGCAGGTGCGTGGCTGTTTTGGGTTTTTTTGGTTTGTTTTGTGCCAGCTTGAATTCAAGGCCTGGGCGCTGACCCTCAGCTTCTTTTACCACTGGAGATATAGCACCACTCTGTCTTTTTTGGTAGGTTATTGGAGATGCGAATCTCAAAGGGGCTGGGAATGTGACTTAGTGGTAGAGTGCTTGCCTAGGATGCATGAGGCCCTGGATTTGATTCCTTGGTTCCACATAATAAATAAACAAATAAAATAAATTAAAAAAAAAAAACAAACAGCCTCACAGACTTTGCTGCCCAGGCTAACTTTTAATCCTTATTCTCAGATCTCAGCCTCTTGAGTAGCTAGGGTTACAGGTGTGAGCCACTGGCACCTAGCTGGAATTTTTCCTTTGAGTTGCTCCACATGTCTGTCCATCTCTGCCCACCCTCCCTCACCCCTCTTTGTGTTGCTACTGGGGCTTGAACTCAGGGCCTGTTGCTGTCCCATTGCTTTTTCCATCAAGGCTGGTCCACAGCTCCACTTCTGGCTTTTTGTTGGTTAATTGGAGATTAAAAAAAAAAAGTCTCAAGGACTTTCCTCCCCAGTCTGGCTTGTAACTTCAATCCTCAGATCACACATCCTAAGTAGCTTGGATTATAGACATGATCCACTGGTGCCCAGTGGTAAATTAGGTTTAACAGACTGCTGAAGAAAGATGTTTTATCTTAGAGAAGTCCTGTTCAAATGATGATGCTCACAGCTTCCTGGAAGGGCTGTTTTCCTGGGAAAGTCCTTTATGAGGATCTTTTTGTCCCATTAATGTCTCAGCACTCCAATGAGGATTTCATTCTGGGAGATTAAGTCCCTGAAGCACAGGGAAATTTTGTGTAGTGTGTATGTGCCTCTGTGTGTGTCTGTGTGTACACCAATACTGGAATTTGAACTTAAGGCCTGAGCGCCATCCCTTAGCTTTTTTGCTAAAAGTTGGTACTCTAACACTTGGGCCATAGCTCTACATGTAGCTTTTTGGTGATAAATTGGAGATAAGAATTGCATAGACTATCCTGCCAAGGCTGGCTTTAAACTGTGATCCGCAGGTCTTACCCTCCTGTGTAGCTAGGTAACAGGAGTGAGCCACTGGCACCGGACTCACTCTGTGCTCTAAAATCATTGTTAATTTACTACCTTTAACATCCACTGATCTATAGCCAGAGTGCCATTTGATGTGGCTAGAGTGACTTGGACTTTTCATTAATTATAATAAGTTAGTTATACTTATGCCTGATTTTTAAAGGAAACAGAATTGAATAAAATCAGAGATTTGGTGTTGGGAATATGGCTCAGTGATAAAGTGCTTGCCTAGCATGCATGAAGCCCTAGGTTCCTCAGTGCCACATAAACAGAAAAAGCTGGAAGTAGAGCTGTGGTTCAAGTGGTAGAGCACTAGCCTTGAGCAAAAGAAGCTCAGGGACAGAGTGCAAGGCCCAGGACTGGCAAAAAAAAAAAAAAAGGGATTTGCTCAAAACACATGCTAGCAATGATTTTGTGTCTTCTGAAGCTTTTGCTGCTTTTGTTTCCACAAGTAGACTCCCCCATCTCTGCCCAGGACCTCTTGTCTCGGATTAAGCAGGAAGAGCAGCAGTGTGTATGGGACCAGCAGGATTTGGCAGAGAGAGATATTCCCACGGACCCCAATTCAGGTAAGAAAGTTATCAAATCAGGGCTGGGAAGGTGGCCCAGTGGTAGAGTGCTTGCCTTGCATGCATGAGGCCCTGGGTTCGATTCTTCAGCACTACATAAGCAGAAAAAGCCGGAAGTGGCGCTGTGGCTGAAGTGGTAGAGGGCTAACCTTGAGCTGAAGAACTGAGGAACAGTGCCCAGGCCCAGAGTTCAGGCCCACAACCGACTCCCCCCCACCAAAAAAAAAGAAAATTATCAGATCAACATCTCTAGGTTATAGGAATCATTACCTCCATCATTTATTGTATCAATGAGTAGCCTTAACATTGATGATTTTGTTTTTGTGGGGTTTTTGTTTGTTTGTTTTTTTAGCAATCAAAACAAATAGGCTTCAAAAAGCTATGTATTTTTTTGGGGGGGGGAAGTCATTTCTATTTTCTGGACTTTCTTTTGAGTGGGTGTTAGTTCGATGTCTCTCCAAAGATTTCTGGGGAGCTTCAGACATTCTGGAAAGCTCAGTGGCTCAGGCTGTGTATGGGTTCATAGGTATTTGCAGAGCTAAGTCTGTGTCATCCTTCTAGAAGTTCTGATACTAAAGTTTATCCCTATCCATGCCAGATAGAGAAAGTGAGCAGCAGAGTCTAAGAGTCCTTGTAGTTTGTTACCTTGACAAGGGAGGGATTGATGGGCTGGGCAGACATGGAAGCACAGAGCTCTGGCTGCTGCTTCTGTATGGCTGAGTTTGGAGTCAAGCCAGTCAGCCATGGCACTGTGGGCTCATTTCTGCAGGCCTGTCCTGGCTCCATGGTCCCACTGGGGCTCAGTGGACAGTGAGAAGACCTAGATTCTAGTCTGGTTCTGTCATTTCTAAGGCTTTGGCATGACCTTTCCCCTCTCTAGCCACTTCAAAATGTAGCATGGGAACCCATGTAGGCTGAGTGCTGGTGGCTCACACCTATAATCCTAGCCACTCAAGAGGCTGAGAGCTGAAGATTGATGTTCAAAGTCAGCCCAGAAGGAATATCTGTGAGAGTCTTACCTCCAATTAACCATCAAACAGCTGGAAGTGGAGATGTGGCTCAAGAGGTAGAGTGCCAGCCTTGTGTGAAAGGCTGAGAGTACACGTCCTGTGTTCAAGTCCAGGACAAGAGTGCACATACACATACACAAAAGGGAGCACAAGGAGTTCCATAAATATAAAGGTGCCCATGAGTTGAGCCTTTGCATGCAATGTTTTTGGGTGTTTATGTTTTATTTTTGTGCTGGTACTAGGGCTTAAACTCAGGGCCTGGGCGCTATCCCTGAGCTCTTTGGCTCAAGGCTAGTGCTCTACCTCTTGGGCCACAACTCCTCTTCCAGCATTTTGTGGTTAATTGGAAATAAAAGTCTCACAAACTTTTCCTGCCCAGGATGGCTGCGAACCACGATCCTCAGATCTCAGCTCTTGAGTAGCTAGCATTACTGGAATGCCTTTTTAACCTTCAGTGGGATGCTGGGCAGGAAATGACCAAATCTAAGACCACCTTCTTTCCTGCCGACAGAATCTCTGATCTCAGCACATGACATTTTGTCCTGGATCAAGCAGGAGGAGCAGCCGTACCCATGGGGCCCACGCGATTCAATGGAAGGAGAACTCGGACTCGACTCTGGCCCTAGTGAGTGCTTTACACCCCTGCGGTGGACCCTGGGGTGTGTGTGCAGCGCTGAAGAGCTGAGGTGTGCAATGAGGGTTGCCCGCTTCAGCCTGAGGTGTAGGGAGGTCCAGTGGGCGGCAGCCTCCGCATCTGGAGGACCTGTCCTGACAGAGTAGGCCAAGGCGGGCCCTTGTTTGAAGCAGTCCCCCTAGTTGTTAATTGTTGACATGGTAAGTCTTGGTCAGACACCAATGACTCTGGGGTATGGGGTGGGAACATGCAGATGTGGCCAGAAAAGTAGTCTCCACTCAGGCCCTGGGCCTAGGTGAGAGCAGAGGAGAGAGACAAGTCCTAAGAAGGGTGGCTACAAACTACCCTCTTCCCAGTTCCTCCGCAAGCTGCCCCTAAGAAGGCCTAAGAAGATGCCTGGATTTAGAGAGCACTTCTTGGATGAGGCTAGTGGTCACTGTCCTGACATTGTGCAGAGCCTTGACTCCTCCCAGCTGTCTCCCAAGGCATGGAAGCTGGACCACCTAGATACCAGAGAACGATGTATTGCTGAAACAGAAGCTGCTGCCTGGGGAGGCAGATTATGGAGAGCCAGGGGAACCTTGTCAGGGACCCAGCACCCTCAGACTGGGTGACACTCGGGCCATCCCAGCTGCACAGCTAGGGGGTCTCCTCTTGCAGGTGACTTCTGGCTAGCAGAAAGCTCCCGGAGCATTTTTTTTTTTTTTTTTTTGTCGGTCATGGGAATTGAACTCTGGGCCTGGGCGATGTCCCTGTGTTCTTCAGCTCAAGGTAAGCGCTCTAACCTTGAGCCACAGCACCACTTCCGGTTTTCTAGTGGTTTATTGGAGATAAAGAGTCTCACGGATGCTCCTGCCCATGCTGGCTTTGAACTGCGATTCTCAGATCTCAGCCTCCTGCGTAGCTAGGATTACAGGCATGAGCCACCGGCGCCCGGCCCGGAGCACTTTCCTGTCTGACCACTTCTAGTCCCGGCTTGACAGGACAGGCCGGACCATCGTATAGAGGACCTGTGGTCATGTGATCAATCTAATCAGGCCCCTCACTTTTAGAGAAACTGAGGCCCAGAGGGACTACCTATGACCAGGTCCCATTAGAGAGATTGCCATCAACATGTCGGTTTTCTGGTCTTTCCCCCCGTCCCTCCCAAGGTGACAGCCTGTTGATGGTGAAGAACGCAGCCCCTGCCCCTCCGCAGCCCCACCAGCAGAGCCTGCCCCCGCTGCCCGAGCACCCCGGCGGCCCGGGCAGCCGCGGGTTGCTGGACAATGGCGGCTTCCCCGCGCTCCCCGGGGAGCGCGGGGAAGCCGCCATTGTCCAGCAACCCGCGGCTGCCCGGGCCGCCGGGGTGCTCGGGCAGCGGGGGCAGGCTCTGCTGGTGGGGCTGCGGAGGGGCAGGGGCTGCGTTCTTCACCATCAACAGGCTGTCACCTTGGGAGGGACGGGGGGAAAGACCAGAAAACCGACATGTTGATGGCAATCTCTCTAATGGGACCTGGTCATAGGTAGTCCCTCTGGGCCTCAGTTTCTCTAAAAGTGAGGGGCCTGATTAGATTGATCACATGACCACAGGTCCTCTATACGATGGTCCGGCCTGTCCTGTCAAGCCGGGACTAGAAGTGGTCAGACAGGAAAGTGCTCCGGGCCGGGCGCCGGTGGCTCATGCCTGTAATCCTAGCTACGCAGGAGGCTGAGATCTGAGAATCGCAGTTCAAAGCCAGCATGGGCAGGAGCATCCGTGAGACTCTTTATCTCCAATAAACCACTAGAAAACCGGAAGTGGTGCTGTGGCTCAAGGTTAGAGCGCTTACCTTGAGCTGAAGAACACAGGGACATCGCCCAGGCCCAGAGTTCAATTCCCATGACCGACAAAAAAAAAAAAAAAAAAATGCTCCGGGAGCTTTCTGCTAGCCAGAAGTCACCTGCAAGAGGAGACCCCCTAGCTGTGCAGCTGGGATGGCCCGAGTGTCACCCAGTCTGAGGGTGCTGGGTCCCTGACAAGGTTCCCCTGGCTCTCCATAATCTGCCTCCCCAGGCAGCAGCTTCTGTTTCAGCAATACATCGTTCTCTGGTATCTAGGTGGTCCAGCTTCCATGCCTTGGGAGACAGCTGGGAGGAGTCAAGGCTCTGCACAATGTCAGGACAGTGACCACTAGCCTCATCCAAGAAGTGCTCTCTAAATCCAGGCATCTTCTTAGGCCTTCTTAGGGGCAGCTTGCGGAGGAACTGGGAAGAGGGTAGTTTGTAGCCACCCTTCTTAGGACTTGTCTCTCTCCTCTGCTCTCACCTAGGCCCAGGGCCTGAGTGGAGACTACTTTTCTGGCCACATCTGCATGTTCCCACCCCATACCCCAGAGTCATTGGTGTCTGACCAAGACTTACCATGTCAACAATTAACAACTAGGGGGACTGCTTCAAACAAGGGCCCGCCTTGGCCTACTCTGTCAGGACAGGTCCTCCAGATGCGGAGGCTGCCGCCCACTGGACCTCCCTACACCTCAGGCTGAAGCGGGCAACCCTCATTGCACACCTCAGCTCTTCAGCGCTGCACACACACCCCAGGGTCCACCGCAGGGGTGTAAAGCACTCACTAGGGCCAGAGTCGAGTCCGAGTTCTCCTTCCATTGAATCGCGTGGGCCCCATGGGTACGGCTGCTCCTCCTGCTTGATCCAGGACAAAATGTCATGTGCTGAGATCAGAGATTCTGTCGGCAGGAAAGAAGGTGGTCTTAGATTTGGTCATTTCCTGCCCAGCATCCCACTGAAGGTTAAAAAGGCATTCCAGTAATGCTAGCTACTCAAGAGCTGAGATCTGAGGATCGTGGTTCGCAGCCATCCTGGGCAGGAAAAGTTTGTGAGACTTTTATTTCCAATTAACCACAAAATGCTGGAAGAGGAGTTGTGGCCCAAGAGGTAGAGCACTAGCCTTGAGCCAAAGAGCTCAGGGATAGCGCCCAGGCCCTGAGTTTAAGCCCTAGTACCAGCACAAAAATAAAACATAAACACCCAAAAACATTGCATGCAAAGGCTCAACTCATGGGCACCTTTATATTTATGGAACTCCTTGTGCTCCCTTTTGTGTATGTGTATGTGCACTCTTGTCCTGGACTTGAACACAGGACGTGTACTCTCAGCCTTTCACACAAGGCTGGCACTCTACCTCTTGAGCCACATCTCCACTTCCAGCTGTTTGATGGTTAATTGGAGGTAAGACTCTCACAGATATTCCTTCTGGGCTGACTTTGAACATCAATCTTCAGCTCTCAGCCTCTTGAGTGGCTAGGATTATAGGTGTGAGCCACCAGCACTCAGCCTACATGGGTTCCCATGCTACATTTTGAAGTGGCTAGAGAGGGGAAAGGTCATGCCAAAGCCTTAGAAATGACAGAACCAGACTAGAATCTAGGTCTTCTCACTGTCCACTGAGCCCCAGTGGGACCATGGAGCCAGGACAGGCCTGCAGAAATGAGCCCACAGTGCCATGGCTGACTGGCTTGACTCCAAACTCAGCCATACAGAAGCAGCAGCCAGAGCTCTGTGCTTCCATGTCTGCCCAGCCCATCAATCCCTCCCTTGTCAAGGTAACAAACTACAAGGACTCTTAGACTCTGCTGCTCACTTTCTCTATCTGGCATGGATAGGGATAAACTTTAGTATCAGAACTTCTAGAAGGATGACACAGACTTAGCTCTGCAAATACCTATGAACCCATACACAGCCTGAGCCACTGAGCTTTCCAGAATGTCTGAAGCTCCCCAGAAATCTTTGGAGAGACATCGAACTAACACCCACTCAAAAGAAAGTCCAGAAAATAGAAATGACTTCCCCCCCCCAAAAAAATACATAGCTTTTTGAAGCCTATTTGTTTTGATTGCTAAAAAAACAAACAAACAAAAACCCCACAAAAACAAAATCATCAATGTTAAGGCTACTCATTGATACAATAAATGATGGAGGTAATGATTCCTATAACCTAGAGATGTTGATCTGATAATTTTCTTTTTTTTTGGTGGGGGGGAGTCGGTTGTGGGCCTGAACTCTGGGCCTGGGCACTGTTCCTCAGTTCTTCAGCTCAAGGTTAGCCCTCTACCACTTCAGCCACAGCGCCACTTCCGGCTTTTTCTGCTTATGTAGTGCTGAAGAATCGAACCCAGGGCCTCATGCATGCAAGGCAAGCACTCTACCACTGGGCCACCTTCCCAGCCCTGATTTGATAACTTTCTTACCTGAATTGGGGTCCGTGGGAATATCTCTCTCTGCCAAATCCTGCTGGTCCCATACACACTGCTGCTCTTCCTGCTTAATCCGAGACAAGAGGTCCTGGGCAGAGATGGGGGAGTCTACTTGTGGAAACAAAAGCAGCAAAAGCTTCAGAAGACACAAAATCATTGCTAGCATGTGTTTTGAGCAAATCCCTTTTTTTTTTTTTTTGCCAGTCCTGGGCCTTGCACTCTGTCCCTGAGCTTCTTTTGCTCAAGGCTAGTGCTCTACCACTTGAACCACAGCTCTACTTCCAGCTTTTTCTGTTTATGTGGCACTGAGGAACCTAGGGCTTCATGCATGCTAGGCAAGCACTTTATCACTGAGCCATATTCCCAACACCAAATCTCTGATTTTATTCAATTCTGTTTCCTTTAAAAATCAGGCATAAGTATAACTAACTTATTATAATTAATGAAAAGTCCAAGTCACTCTAGCCACATCAAATGGCACTCTGGCTATAGATCAGTGGATGTTAAAGGTAGTAAATTAACAATGATTTTAGAGCACAGAGTGAGTCCGGTGCCAGTGGCTCACTCCTGTTACCTAGCTACACAGGAGGGTAAGACCTGCGGATCACAGTTTAAAGCCAGCCTTGGCAGGATAGTCTATGCAATTCTTATCTCCAATTTATCACCAAAAAGCTACATGTAGAGCTATGGCCCAAGTGTTAGAGTACCAACTTTTAGCAAAAAAGCTAAGGGATGGCGCTCAGGCCTTAAGTTCAAATTCCAGTATTGGTGTACACACAGACACACACAGAGGCACATACACACTACACAAAATTTCCCTGTGCTTCAGGGACTTAATCTCCCAGAATGAAATCCTCATTGGAGTGCTGAGACATTAATGGGACAAAAAGATCCTCATAAAGGACTTTCCCAGGAAAACAGCCCTTCCAGGAAGCTGTGAGCATCATCATTTGAACAGGACTTCTCTAAGATAAAACATCTTTCTTCAGCAGTCTGTTAAACCTAATTTACCACTGGGCACCAGTGGATCATGTCTATAATCCAAGCTACTTAGGATGTGTGATCTGAGGATTGAAGTTACAAGCCAGACTGGGGAGGAAAGTCCTTGAGACTTTTTTTTTTTAATCTCCAATTAACCAACAAAAAGCCAGAAGTGGAGCTGTGGACCAGCCTTGATGGAAAAAGCAATGGGACAGCAACAGGCCCTGAGTTCAAGCCCCAGTAGCAACACAAAGAGGGGTGAGGGAGGGTGGGCAGAGATGGACAGACATGTGGAGCAACTCAAAGGAAAAATTCCAGCTAGGTGCCAGTGGCTCACACCTGTAACCCTAGCTACTCAAGAGGCTGAGATCTGAGAATAAGGATTAAAAGTTAGCCTGGGCAGCAAAGTCTGTGAGGCTGTTTGTTTTTTTTTTTTAATTTATTTTATTTGTTTATTTATTATGTGGAACCAAGGAATCAAATCCAGGGCCTCATGCATCCTAGGCAAGCACTCTACCACTAAGTCACATTCCCAGCCCCTTTGAGATTCGCATCTCCAATAACCTACCAAAAAAGACAGAGTGGTGCTATATCTCCAGTGGTAAAAGAAGCTGAGGGTCAGCGCCCAGGCCTTGAATTCAAGCTGGCACAAAACAAACCAAAAAAACCCAAAACAGCCACGCACCTGCAGCTCTGCCACTGGAAGCATTGCTCTCTATCCTGTTACACGCGATGGACACCCTCCCGAGCCACAGACCACACTCACAACCCTCCTTTCCCCTCCTGGGGCAGATGGCTATTTGGCTCACTCACCAGTGATGGATTCCGTGGGGATAGCTCTTTCTTCCAGGTTCCGCTGGCTCCGCACACACAGAGCTTCCTCCCGCTTCACCTGGGAGGGCAAGTCCTGTGCAGGTACCAGGGGCTCAGCTCCTGGGGACACAGAGACTTTTTTTCTGGATGCTGGTCAGCAGGAAGTTCTGGGGTCAGGGGCATGGCTGCCAGCATTTGCTGGGCAGGTAGCGTGAGGACAGGGATCTCTGGTTCCTGTTGGAGCCCTGAAGGATCGTGAAGAGCAGAAGTCTCCAAGAACAGAAAACCAACATCCAAGAAAAGAAGGCAACAAAATGAAGTATGAGAAAGGCCAGAGAGAGACTGAAATAGCACTCTGTAACTGGACTCAGCCACATGTACATGTTTGACATTGTAGATTTGTCCTGCCAGGCACCGGTGGCTCACACCTGTAATCCTTACTCAGGAGGCTAAGATCTGAAGAGCAAAGCCAGCCTGGGCAGGAAAGTTCCGTGAGACACCCTTATCTCCAATTAACTGCCAGAAAACCACAAGTGGTAGAGTGCTGGTCTTGAGCTGAAGAGCTGAGGGACAGCGCCCAGGCCCTTAGAGTTCAAGCCTCATGACCACCACTACCAGAAACAAAAAGTGTGATTTGTCATTTTTTTTTTACCCAAGTAGAAAACACATATGTATGCATATATGACTATGAAGCAGATGACCATGCAAAGAAGCACGGTAAGTCCTGATCAAGCACACAACATCTGTAAGCCTAAAAGTCAACAATAAATCCTAAGACGTGTCAAATGGCCTTTTCTTTTTCTTTCTTTCTTTTTTTTGTTGTTTGTGGGGCTTGAACTCTGGGCCTGAGCGCTGTCCCTCAGCTCTTCAGCTCAAGGCTAGTGCTCTACCACTTGAACTACAGCTCCACTTCCGGTTTCCTGGTGGCTTATTGGAGATAAGAGTTTCACGGACTTTCCTGCCCGGGCTGGCTTTGAACCGTGATCCTCAGATCTCAGCCTCTTGGTCTTTTCTTTTTCTGGTATTCTCTGTACTAGCTCCTGGCAGGAGACAGCTCAGGCAACAGAAAAAAACATTGGGTGAGGAACTTGAAGATGGTCTGGTTTCAACTCTGCTACCAACTTAGTACCTGAGTCATTTTGCCTCTTGGGGTTTCAATCTGCCTGTTTCATTTATTAAATAAAGGTAGTGTTCCTGCTCTGTTTTGTGCCCAATGACGTCTGATAACTCAGTGATACTGTTGCGGTTATAGTGCATGAAGGGTGGGAAGCTTCATACTGGTATGGTAACCGTAGCTGCCGAACCAAACATCTGCAATGCCAGATGAAGGGAGGAAGGAATGAGTGAAAGGAAACACCCACCACAAGCAAATCCAAAGACAGAAAGCAGACTCATATTTGCCAGAGGTTGGGGAGAAGAGGACTGGGAAGTAGCTGCTCATGGCAACCGGATGTCTCAGAAGAAACTGTTCTGATATATACATCTAGGTTCAGATCTCTCCATTGGGCTTAACAGTGAGTCTCGTACTATATTGCTTTAACAAAGCAGAAGACTAATAACCACGCTGCAGTTTTAGGCCAAGCGATTATCAAATCTTCATCACAGCAGAGCTGGCCCCTGGAAGCAATTCAAGACATACTCCTTCCTTGTTGACTGTACAGGCAATAGGGTCTCCTTGCATGGTATATGGGGCACCAGCTCTCCTCCCAGCCCTTCGGGGACCTGGCCCTATCTTCAGCTGCCATTACCTGTATCTGCATCCACTGGGACTTCTCTCTCTTCAGGATGCCGTTGCTCCCACACACAAGGCTCTTCTCTGGGCTCCACCTGGGCTGGAGCATCTGGCTTAGACACGGGGCCCTCGGCATCTAAAAGCAAGATGGGAAGGGAGAGAAGGACTGTGTGAATTTGACCAGTAAATTCTGATCAAGGGCGCTGGGAGAGCTCTCCACTATCTACCTTCCCACCTCTCCCTGCACACTTCTGTATGACTATGACAGCAGGTATATGAAGGGATTCTTACCCAGGGACATCAGGGTTTTGTAGTTTTCCTTAACAAGGTTATTGTAAAGCTCCTTCTGCCACTCGTCCAAGTTCTTCCACTCATCTTCAGAGAAGTAGACAGCTATGTCCACAAAAGTCACCGGGACCTGGGCCAACAAGAATTTTAGTCTCAAGCCAGGCGCTGGTGGCTTACGCCTGTAATCCAAGCTACTCAGGAGGCTGAGATCTGAGGCTTGGTTCAAAGCCATACCGGGCAGGAAAGACTGTGAGACTCCTAACTCTAATAAAACCACTAAAAAACCGGAAGTGGCACTGTAGCTCAAGTAGTAGAGCGCTCGCCTTGAGCTGAAGAGCTGAGAGACAGAGCCCAGGCCCAGAGTTCAAGCCCCACGACCCACCAAAAAAAAAAAAAAAGAATTTTAGTCTTGCATCTCCTGCCATTCCTTACCTCCTTTATCTGTGGGTCCTGGGCACCAGCCCAGCCTAGAGTCTGGCCTTTGATCCCCACATCCCAAACTCAGAACCCCAGGCCACATTAATCCAGAACTCTCCTCCCATCTGCCTTCTTGGGTTTCTAAGAGCAATGTTTTTCACAGTGGGAATCACAGAGCTGAGTATAGTAATAGCCTGTGAGAAAACTTGTATTTCAGGTCTGGACACTGGTGTGTACATAGTGACATTGTTGTTACATATAAAATCCAAAGGCAGATGAGATGCAGCAACTCTTGGCTGGGCCATCTTTATGAGGAAGTGTCTCCCTGGTGTGAGTCACGGCCTGGCATCAGTCACTTGGTGCAGGTATTGATGTGCTACGAGGAGTTGGTCTACATCCATTCTAACTGTTACCAGCAGGCTTTCTGCTTGGATCAAATTGTTCAAAATAGTTTCGCTTCCCTGATTTACCACTGAGGTTCCCCCGTGACCACAGTCTTCCTTCCTACACTTCTCACATCCTCACTGAACTAGCTTCTTACTCTCACACTGAAATCTAGTCCCTTGACTCTCCCTATCTCCTAGTCCTTGTCCATTAGTCCTTGTGTATGTCCAGGGCCAGAGCTGGCCTGTACTGAACAGACTGGAAAGAGCCAGCAGATAAATAGGTAAACAGATCTTGCCCCAAAGCCTGATTGGCAATCAGAAGCTTTACAACAACTATCAACATCAGCCATTACACCAGGTGCACAAAACTCTGACACAATGGCTCAGGCCTCTAATCCTAGCTAGTCAGGAGGCTGGGATTTGAGGATGGTGGTTCAAAACCAGTCTGAGCAAGAAAGCCCAAGAGATTCTGATCTTCAATGAACCACCAAAGGGCTGGAAGTGGGCCTATGGGTCCCAGTGGTAGAGTGACAGCCTTGAGTGAAAATGCTAAGGGGCAGGGCTGGGAAGGTGGCTCAGTGGTAGAGCGCTTGCCTTGCATGCCTGAGGCCCTGGGTTCGATTCCTCAGCACCATATAAGCAAAAAGAAAGAAGCTGGAAGTGGCGCTGTGGTTCTAGTGGTAGAGCGCTAGCCTTGAGCTGAAGAGCTGAGGGACAGCACCAGGGCCCAGCATTCAGGCCCCACGACCGGACCCCCCCCCAAAAAAAAGAAACTGCTAAGGGGAAGGCCCTAAGTACAAGGCCCAGGCCAGGACATGACTGACCCATTCCTCAAGTCAGGTGTACAAAACTGCCAGGATGTCCTGTGCAGGTGTGATCTGCACACCTGTGTGCTTCCCATCCATCTCTAGAATCAGAACTAGAATGTAGACCGCCAGAGCTGGGCAAAGCTCCAGCCTGGGAAAGACCAACATGCCCCCTCTTTTGTTCATTGTTGTTAGAAAACAAATCACAAAATTCTGGTCAACGTCTGTCTTAAATTCCCACTGCCTGACCCACGGCTGCTTCCGATGCCGACACTTCGGTGTGTTTCCTGGGAAGCTCGTGGCAGATGTCACTCTCCCAAGACCTTCCGCTGGCCTTCCTGGAACTCCTGGTTCTCTCTGATCTCAGGAGGATGTTGGCAAGCTCCTACCTCGCCCTTTCCCTCCTGTCAAAATATACCTTCATCTCTCCTCCTGCTTTTGAAACTTAACCCATCGATTTTGTCTCTTTTACCCCCTGGTAAAAGAGTGAATCAGTGAAGTCTGCAGGGCTTGACAAGGTGAAATCACTTGTTCACCTATGCAGTTCCTAACCTCTCCCTGCCCCTGGACTGTCATACCTTGGGGGCTTCGCCCTTGGTGCCCGGGGGCAGCCGCAGGACCCAGAAGTTCCTGTTCCGCAGCAGGTTCTCCAGGTTCTCCAGGCGCCGCTGCAGCAGCCCGTACTCCTGCAGCAGGGTCCCCAGCACAGCCCACTTGCTCTCCATGTGGTTCCCGAACTCCACAGCGGTCTTCTCGCAGTCGGCCAGCTTCTTCTCGGCGGTCCCCGTGCGTCCCTCTAGGTTTAACAGCTGGCTGGCCTGGGCGTCCACCTTCCTCTCCACAGCCTGAATGGCGGCCACCACAGTCCAGAGCGAGATCTCTGCTGTGGGTAACTGGGGCTCCCGCATCATGCGGTCAGGGAAGACGGGAGCCCTATCCGGGAAGGGTGGGAACTGAAAGGGCATAGGTCGCCGAGCATCCATGTCCCATTCTTGAGCCTGCATGAAGAGGAAACAGAAGCAGGCAGGGATGAGAATGCATGTAAGGTCATGTGATTGTAACCCCTCGGTACAGTATTTTCACAATTAAAATAACTTATTTTTTAAAAAAGAATGTATGGAAGGGATTCAGGTGCAGGTGGCTGACACCTACAATCCCAGCTACTCAAGAAACTGAGATCTGAGGCTCATGATTCAAAGACAGCCTGGGCAGACAACTCCTCAAGACTCTTATCTCCAATTACCTGGCAAAAGCTGACTGTGAGCAAGAAGGCCAAGCAAACATGAGGTCCTGCGTTCAAGCCCTAGGACATAGCACACATACCCACACGTACTCATATACATACACATGTATGTGTAAAGAATAATTAATTAAACGTCACACTCTCCTTCTCCTGCCAACCCCCTGCCTTCCCCTGCCTTTACCTTTAGTGCTCATTAATGCCCCTGGCGATAACTAGAGCGGCCAACCCATCTGTCCAACTAACCACTCTCCCATTTCCTGCCCTGGGGAGTCAGGCTGTTGGACCTACCTTGACCCTCATCTAAAATGTCACAGACTTTTATTCTGCCTTAGAACAACTGCTTTCTTCATTGACTAGACTTAACAATAAACTTTGCCTCAAGTTTTTTGTCTCAAGGTAAGAATTTTCGTGTAAGTTGTCCCAGGATAATCTTCCCAACAATCTCTCCGCAGGTTAATCATTCCTGCCTGAAAAATGATGCCATTAAGGTATAGTAAAAGTAGCTGATCGCCAGGCGCTGGTGGCTCACGCCTGTAATCCTAGCTACTCAGGAGGCTGAGATCTGAGGCTTGGTTCAAAGCCA